GTTAATATACAAATGACATAAACTTATTAGTGGCACACGCACTTCTATATCGTTTATCATATGTAACCATCATGATTAAGTCATTATCAAAGAAAAAATGTGTTAGCACAGTCTCTGTTGGATTATGATGTAGTCATCGTTTATAATCATTGAGAGATTGTTTGGTTTTTATTTATATTAGGACTTACTTGTCTACTAAATTTTTAATTAATGCAATAAAGAATTAGTTCCGATATTATAACGAGACCATATACAATCTGTGAAGATATCTGAATACTTCGATAGCCTTTGTAGATTGTGTTTAACAAGAGCCGAATGGACACATTTTGATTAACTTCTAATAGAAATTCGCATATCTAATTCAATTGTAGTGAATTCAAAATTACCTCATGTGCATTCGAACTAATAAACGATGATCTAAAAAGCGTACATCATATTCAGATATTTATCAGTTATACAGGTGCTCTACGCCACATTCTATATCGATTTTCATTTTGATTAGAGAAGAATCATTTTCCAGCACTATTTTAGAAGATCTATTAAAAAAAACAGTAGTATGTTGAAATAATATAGAACACTATTCTTACTGTCGCCACATATAGAGAGACAGTTCCATTGACCTTTCTATACAGTATAGAAGTATGTTTGCTATTACTTATAACCTATCCTATATATTTATGATTGATAATTAATTGAAATAATGAAGATAAAATACGATTGTATGGTGTTTCAAGACATTGAAGCAACTTTAACATTTTCAGTTTAATGAACATTTGCACCATTTAAATTAATCCATAAACCATTGAACTAGGTTAAAATTTGGATGTGCGTATGGGTATGAATCAGAGTTATCTTCGTACAGTCACTCTCACATCCTCTTGTGAATCTAAACAATGAAAGGAGCACTTTATTTTGAATAGTCTATTAGTGATAACCACTTGATTCATTCAAGGTTGCACAGATACTATCAGACTATCGACTAATACAACAACTATGTCAGTTGATATAATCATCTACAAAATTTTTATATGCACATTTCATTTTGAGAATCGTTTCAATATTTCTCGCGTTTTACCGACAACACATTCTCTATTAGACATGCATATGTTCCGCTTAATCCACTTGATAGTATCGAGTCGATAGTACAGATAAAAGCACAAAAAAAACATTTCTAACGAACATCCCGATTTTTCATTTCCATGATTGCTATTCGCTCGGTATTTTTCGTTTTCGTAAGTTTTTTTCTCAATTCAAAAGTTTTATTATTATCAGTATTGAATTACATGGCAAATAAAGCTTTAATAAATACAGATACATTATTTAATCCTGGTTGCTAAGGTCTTTAATAGAGTGGGAAGGGAAGAAGCCGGAAAACTTCGACTTAAAACTTACACTTACTATTTTCTTCGCAAACATATGTGAGTTCCACGAAATTTTACTTTAAATATAGATATTATTAAATTCAATTGCAAATTTCAAAGTTTAAGTCATAATAAACATGGATCAATATTACTCGAATCATGTCGTTCATTATTTTGGCTTAAACAAAAACATTGCTATGTTGGATATCATAATGATGAAGAGAATGAACAAAAATTCTTATACACAATAGCTCGATTTCGATTAAAAGATATTATTTATCATTTATCTAATTTTCCACCTATAACAATAGTGCCATCAAATATGAAAAAATATTTCTTTTTTAATCAAAATAAAATCAATTCTTTATTAATTGACATTGATAAATTTCTAACACCACTAATTTATCGTTTTACACAAGTAACATCATTAATAATTTGTGGTTCAGTGCTTATATCATTAGATGTTTTTAAAACAATAATGTGAACTTTAATCAGATAGAAAAATTTGATGTTTATGGTATTGAATCATTATCAAGACATGAACTTAACAACTTAATAAAAAAATATTCTTGATAAATTATCTTATTACGACATATAATCTAGAATTTGTGAAGCCATCAAACATTCGTACTCTTAGATTAGAAAAGATGATTGGAAAGCAATATCTATTAATTATCTTTGACATACAATACAGAATATTAAAACTCTTGAAATTCTAATTGATTCAGTAGATATGATGGCTGATATTATAGATCATTTTGATCATCTGAACAATATTTTATTCAGATGTAATCGTTTTTGGAAATGTGACTATTCAGAATTTTTCATTGAAAAGTGAAGTCTTTATGGATTGGAAAATGTATTCGTATCGCCTTAGAATAAGTCATTTTACATTTCGACAAGAAGAACAATATCAGCACATTCGAGTGTCGATTGGTGATCGAAAACATGAAAAATATGAAGATACCCTACATTTGTTACTTAAATAACTTAAACTAATAGTTACGGACACATTTTGTATTCGATTAGCGTAATCATTCTTTGTTAATAAAACATAATTATATTGATTCTTTCGATTGTGAATATTCTGACTATCTTTTTTAGATCAATAAATAATGTAGAATTCAATTCAAAATCACTAAAATTTTTACTACATATGTCAGTCTCCTTATTTATTGCGAGAGTCTAAAAAACAGTATTTCCTAAATGATGAGGTGTGGATGTGTGAAATAATTTTGAGTTTATTCACGTCCGCACCCAGAGTCCTACTCCATTCTGCTACCAGATCTTTGATAATCCATTTGACCATAAACCATTGACTCGACTATTGTGTAACTCTATAGTATGCTATGGCATATCGACACTCATCACGAAAGACCTCTTCTGTACATATGGAACGTAGAGTTCTGACAACAGCAAGTGAGAGTAAGCCAGAGAAGCGGTTGAGTGTAGATTTGTACTAATGTCCAACTACGTCGACATCTTAAACGAACATGATCAGTATTACATTGATCAACGTGAATAATAAATCGTTCGATTATCTCACGTAAACTACTATTGATATCTGAGATTGAACAAAAAAAAAATTTCAACCTTTGTGTCATTAAAACAATATATTGTTTTACTTTCACTCGTGTTTCATTAAGATCTTTACTTAATGTTGCTTATGGAGAATTGATATTTGTAGCTCATTCAATAAAAGTTTGAATTATTAATTCATCTTTTTCAATTTCTGAATGATATATTTAAAGTCAATGAACAAATCAAAAATTTGTTCTTCTTTGTTTTATTTACTATATTTTAATTTGTTCAACATTTACTCGAAATTGATTAAGACTTTCAGTCAAATATATATATTGATTATGATATTATGTGAAACGACCAGTGATGTTGTGCATGTGAAGAATTAAATGATTGTCATCATCCTAGAGAATATTCTGATTTTAAATAGTTTATTGTTTAAACGCAATATGATTTCATTGATATGAACAAAAAAAACCAGGCATGTAGGAGAACGAGCAACAACAATCAGTTCTTTGTTCCTATATACTATTTTGCGTGAGATTATCATCTATTGAATTGATGAAGAATTACCTTAGTAGAACAAATAAATAAAGAAATGCTTTATATTTTATTTATGGATTCTCTTAATTTATTTAACTAAAAGGTCGTGAGCATCTGTATCACAATTTGGATCATTTCTACACCCACACTCACACTGTGAGCTCTAAGACAATTTACTAAGTCGCACGGTCAGAGCCAAGGAAAGTTTTGAGTGAGACAAAAAAGGTAGTTCTGGACTTCCATAGTTTTAATGCACTTATATAAAGATATGCTCATACTCTTAATTTCTCAGAATCATTACTGTGAATTTTATATGTATCCAAAGAATAATACAGATTATAAAGGAAATCATAATTTTTTTCTAAAAATGAAATCAGAGTGTTAGTTCATTCTCAATCTGACACTCATCTACATCCAGGTTTTGATTGTAAAAGTTTAACGTTTATCGAAAAACAAATTTTATATTCGGAATCAGCATGAAAGCCGACATTAGAAAAAGTACATTTTATTATAAAATATTTTCCATCAAAAATTCATCCGCATGAAGCCAGAGTGAAATTTTCATAAGATATATTTTGAGATAGAAAAGATCTTTTCCAGTGTAGTTTTTAATGGGAACTCTGATTACTATGTTTGTCTTCGATTAACGCCAAATTTTTACAATCAAAGCCTGGTAACAGCTACGCTTTTGCTATTTTGAAGGAAACCAAGGCTCCTCTAATCGTATTATTACTATTGGTACTAATAATAAAAATATCGAAGATTTGGTTTCGATATTTATATCATCATACCACTCACGGCAAAAAATAGCTCTACAAAACAATATTAACGAGTCGAGAAAGTATAACTTATGGAAAATATACTAGCCTCTTCAAACATCTCTAATAAATGATAGGAAAACGACGATTTTCAATCAGAACTGCTTCACTTCCTATACAAGTAAAACTTGTGAAATATCCTAAGTAGTTAAACTTAATGTGTCTTATCAACGGTAAAAATATCCGAGTAAATCATTATTAGCGCATAAAATGCGATTGACCAACATTTGGTAACAAAACGCAGAAGAAAGAGTAAAGCAAATTTTTTAATAGTATCTCAGAAATCCTCATAGGATTAACAAAAACTTCTGAAATTTCGTGCGCAGAAGAATAACTTCGAAATTTTCACAAATTCAAATGCAAACGTCGATTTTACTAATAAAATCACTATGAAAAATACTTCAAAATATCGTTAATATTTTGATTGTTTGTATAGAAAAAGTGGATCAGATTGAACTGAAAATTTCAAGGAATAGTAAACTCACTATCCTCTAGACTATATCAAAAACTTAGCGAATTCTGAAACATCACTTGATCGTCGATATTCTGTGTTGACTGATTTTCTTAGACACTTACTTTTAAGAGAATATTGAAACTTACGCAAAATTAAAATTTTTTTGGCAATACGGTTAATTTAGAAGTTCCTGTTCAAATAAATTTAAAACCATCAAAAACATGTTAACCCTCTGAGGTCAAACAATCTGTCTATAAGATCTTATATGATTCTACGAGTTCATATAGAAACTTACTGTATGATCTTCTATGATCATACAAGATCTTATGAAAATCATATACGATCTTATAAGATCTCATCTGTCGACCTTAAAGCCACACAGGTCGAAAAATCAGCCGTAAGATCTTCATGTCAGATCTCTGATATTGTATGATTCTATAATATCCGACGAAATCGTACACAAAAATCGTGGTGTCCGCAAAACTTACATCAGCTCTTAGCATACGATTCTTCCAAGTTTATAGCATCTGTACGATCTTAGAAGAATCGTATGCTAAGACTTGATGTAAGTTGTGCAGACACCACGATTTTTTGTACGGTTTTTCTCTGATGTTATAATTTCAGATGAGATCAGACTTAAAGTCTTATAAGATCTTACCATCGGATTGTTTGCCCTGGGCACCATTTCTGATAAAATCGTATTATACGATTCTTGTATGAACTTATTGTAAGATTCATGTAAAATTTTACAGAACCTTCTAATGCAGTTTACAGTTAAATTTCTTGCTTTTCATGCCTCTCCTCCTACATACGCAATTAAACACTCGAAATCTTCTTTATTTGAGCAAACATATTCCACGATTGTTTGACTTTACTTTTAGTATGTGGTGTGATTTTATCTAAATGAAAAAATGATTTATTTTAAAACAAATATACATATTTCAATATTTCGTTCGATTCGCTTTAAATAAAAAATAGTTCTGTGAAAATAAATAAATATTAATATATTGTCCGATCACATCTAAATACGAAAAATCATTCATTTAAAAATAAATAAACACTTATATTTTGCTATATTATGTTGTTTTGTCTAAATAAAAATAAATTATCTATTTTAAAACAAATACTTATATTTGAATATTTTGTTTAGTTTGCTCTGAATGAAAAAGATGATTTATTTTAAAATAGATTAATTCTTACATTTCAATGTATTGTTAGCTTTTAATCTAAATAAAAAAAACATATATATTTTAAAATAAATACTTAATGTTTAAACTTTTATTTGAAGTTATCTAAATAAGATACATTAAATTAGTTATTGGAAAAATGCGTAACATTGCGCTTGTTGCTGAATTCAAAATGAAGGAACTTATAACCTCGATAAGTACAATTCACCCCACTTTTAAACTTACGACCAGATTCGATCGTATACTCCCTTCGTGCAGACTGTCGTTCACATTCATCGTACATGTTATCCATGTTTGAGTGTCTGGCATCGTATACGTTCATGATATACGATAGTTATAGACAAAGGTGGTTTTTTACGTTTTGTGTTGTAAACGGTCATCGCCTATCAGCCTCGGCTAGTACTTACTATGAGGAACTGAGAGAGTATGCATCTATGCTCGTCAATATAATGTTGTATTGTGTCATCTGCACATCTCTAATCGTGCTCTTCTTTCGTTTACATCGCCTTATATGGTAGAAAGAGCGAGCACGGTTGAGTGAATAAGAGCAAAGAACCAAACCGTCACACGATAGAGAGAATGAGAGATAGTGACCAGGTCAACACATGAACACATAAATATAGAGAAAAGAATAGAGTTATACGAAATGAAACGTAACGGTCATAAGACTGTTATACATATCCTTCATCAAATTATTGAATGTAATCGAGAGAGAAAAATAATTTTTCGACAAAATTCATACGTACCTATTGACGGTGTTCTTGAGATTTATCTAAATAAAAAATTAGTTATTTATGTATTTAAATGATACTTACTCTTTATCATGTTGTTAATTTTGTTCTACATTAATATGCAACCACTCAAACATTTATTTAAATGCAAAAAACAATCGCTATAAAAACTATTCGTAAAAGAAATGATAAGATTATAAAAATTATAATCATATAAGATTATATACGAT